GCAGCCCTGGACAGGAGGGTGGCGATTCGCAGCAACAACAGTCGCAGGAGGAAGGGAAAAGGCTGAGCGCCGGAAGCAGCCCCGTGGAGAAGAGGAGCTCGGCCAGCGACAAGTCGGCCAGCCCTATCGATAAGAGAACCAGCCCTGTGGATAGGAAGGAGAGGACGAGTCCCATCGATCGACGCGCAAGTCCTATAGGTATGGAATTTGAATTTTGTTACTTCCGATTGCTGGAAACTTTTTGTATTTTTTATATTAATGAGAGTTCTTTAGAAAAGAGAGGATCAGTTTTATCAGGAGTAGATCATATGTCGTTTAAAATTTAAGTTCTGTTGCTTCTGATTTAAAAGAGAAGAGAAATTTAATTTTCGGATCGATAAAGAAAACTAGTTTTAGATAAAAAGGAAAAAGTTAATCATATAGATTTGTCATTTGGAATTTGAATTCTATCGCTTATGATTGCTAAGAGGTTTAAAAGCTAATCTTTTGGAATTTGAATTCTATTGCTTATGATTGCTAAGAGGTTTAAAAGCTAATCTTGTGGACCAATTCTAGATTTTTCATTTGAAATTTTTTTCATGAGAAATTTGATTTTAATTGAGAAATTTATTGTAAAAAAGTTAGCTTTAGATAGTAAAGAGAAGATTAATTCTATAAGTTTGTTATTTAAAATTTGAGTTTTATTGCTTATAATTGATAGTTAATTTCAAAGTTAATCTTGTGAATAGGAAAGAAAAAAGAAAGAAAGAATTAATCGTATAAGTCTGTCATTTGGAATTTAAATTCTGTTTCCTGAAAAATTTTTATATTGATTTTTATATTAATAAGAGCTCTGTGAATAGAAAGAGAAGGATCAATTCTATAGATTTGTCATTTGATATGTAAATTCTATTACTTCTAATTGATGAGAAATTTGATTTTTGTAAAAAGAGTCTTAGATAGCAAGATTAATTCTAAAATTCTTAAATTTGATATTTGGAATTTGAATTCTGTTATGATTAGATTTGAAAAAATATAAAAAGATTTGAAAGTTAATCTTGTGAATAGGAAAAAAAGAATTAATTCTATAAATTTGTCATTTGAAATTTGAGTTTTATTGTTTTTGACTTTTTATTGCATTGAATGAAAGTAAAAGTTATTTGCGCGAGAAAATTTGTGGTTTTGATTGATGTTTTAGAAATGTCAGGTTTGGTTTATTTTTTATTGATATTGAGATATTACTATATGTATTCTTGTTAGATATATATAAATATTTTTATGAAATTTAATAGTTAATAATATTGAAAAATTAAAAGATTATTATTTTTATTATTATAATTGAATTGTAGATTACACTTTTAAAAAAATAAAATAAGATTTAGGAATTTTAATACATTTTAACACATTTTCGATTATTGAACATTATATTATTGATAAATGTTTTATTAATATTATAATTATTCAATGTTTATTATAATATTTACTGTTTTACTGTATTAAAACTTCAAAACAAACTATAAATTATATATAGATTATATATATAGTATACAGAATTCAATATAACAAGAAAATATTTATACGTGTATCAAAGTTTTTCCATAAATGTTGGCGACATACGTAATTCTTTGTTGAAAGTTGTATATAATATAAATCAAAAGTAGTGTTCATATATAGTTCATGGTTAAAACTTTATCTCGATTTCTGGAACATATTGTACTTTCTATATATATCACAGTTACTTGATGTCATTTTTATGACTACCCATGAGCCACTATTTTTCCGAGACTTGGAACTTGTCTGATCCACTTATTCTAAAACGAAGAAAGAGATTATAAAGTAGATATAAATATTCAAAATTATTATATTTTCGTGCAATTTCTAAATTTGAAAAAAGAATAAAAGGAATTAAACTATTTATATATAAAGGAATATATATATAAAGGAATTAGATTATTTAATTTCCACAAAAAATATATATTTTTTTTATTATCTATAAAAAATTCATATTTCTAAAATTTTTATCAATTAATCCAAGCATTAAGTTTCAAAAAAACATAATTTCATATCCAATCACCAATCACACCAAATATTTACTTTTATAAATATGCATTAATATTCAAATTTTAAAATAAATTCAATTCACATTTCTACAAACTATTCAATACCAAGATCAAACTAATTATTCAAAAACATATCATTTCAAAAAATAATTAAAATTCTTAATGAAAATAAATAGTTTTATGATACTAAAATATTAAGAAATTATTTCAATTAACAATAAATCTAAATTTATTTCAAAACACAAATTATCCAATTCTAGTATAATCGCTAACATAAATTTCAAAAAATAGAAATATATCTTATCAAAATGAAATACTAAAATACTAAATAAATAATTATTTAACAAACATCTATTCCTATTATAGTGAATTTAAATAAATTTTCAAAACACTATATCCACAATAATCCACAAAATTTCATTATTCACATGAACCATCCAAGATTCCAAGACATTAAATCATCAGAAACACCGAAAATTGTTCAAACGAATTTTCAAAGATCATTGATCAACGAGCGCATCTCTCAAACGCTAATTTTCCAGAGAAACGAAATGGCTCGCCGAGTCGCAGC